TCTTTTTTTTTTTAATAATTATGAGACATAATAGCATTAACAAATAAATTTCCCTTTGGTTGTGAAACTTCTTTTCCTGGGGATGCTAAGCAATACTTATTCCCTTTTAAGGTTCTAGTGTCAAGCCAATGTTTGATTAAAGTTTTACTGGGGAACCAATGAATTTATTGAGCTTACTTACCAAGATAACTGAGGGGTTACTGAGGTATATGTATGACCTGAGGGTATGCACACTGGATAGCCTTTACCCAGCATGGGCCATGCCTACTTTTCCTAGCCTTCCCCAGATTGTATACTTCAGCCCTCCCCAAATCCAGGAAGCCGTCTTTTGGATCTTCTTAAGCCTTGCAAAGCATTGCTTTTATTCTTTTAAATGTGTATTTAAATCTTTTTTTGTTAATGTCTGCTGAAAGTAGAATAGCATAACAAAATATCATTTGATCTAGAAATTTTGCTTTGTGGAAGTTTCACATTTAATGAAATTTACACTTATGGGTTTATATGTCTCTTCATTTTTAAATTTTTTAAAATATTTTTTAATTTAATAACCACATGATTAGAAGAAGCATTTCGTTATAGCATTAACATATTCAATAACAATTTCCAGAGCAAAGATGCATCTCTTTCAATATTGGCCGTAAATTTTTAGGTACACAGTTGAGTTAATACAGTTGTACAATATTGAACTCAGTATAAACCCTCTAAGACATAGAATTGAATGAGGTTTTAACCTTTAAAAAAGATCTCCATTTCACTTTAAAATATACTGTTTCATACAGAGAAACTCATTTATTTTATTCATTTATTTATTTTTTATTTTATGTGTATGCGTGTATTGTCTGCATGTAGGTAAGTGCACCCATGTCGTGCAATGCCTGCGGAGGTCAGAAGAGGCTGATGGATCCCCTGGGACTGGAGTTAGGGACAGTTGTTAACTGCCATGTGGGTTCTGGTATTTTAACCCGGGTCTTCTGTAAGAACAACCAGTGTTCTTAACTGCTGAGCCATCTCTCCAGCCCCAGCAAAACTTATTTTTAATGCTACTAACACTTAGATGTTTGCACATGTGTCTCTAATCTCTATGTATCTGATTATTACTAGTCACAGTCGGTTACTTTCTGATGTCTCTCTTTTTAAATTTTACTGTTAAAAGCTTACAAGTCAATTAGCTTTTATGTTCTACAAAGCTGTATAATGTCTGCTTTTTTTTCATGCAGAAAACTTCATTTTTAATGCAATTGACATTAAGATGTTTGCACATGCGTTCCTGATTTCTATATATCAGATTATTACTAGTCACAGTCAGTTACTTTCTGAGCTCCTTGGCATCAGGTAGATTTCAATGATAATGTTTTTCACATCTACTAATTATTAAGGAGCAAATTTTTCTGCTTCTTTTGCATGTTACATTTCCTTTTCTAGAACACTGGAGTTCCTGATGAGACACTTGTCTCTTCTAGCGGACTATTGTTCCATCACAAATATGCATGCAAAAAACCTCGCCATCGTCTGGGCACCAAACCTGCTCAGGTAATTTGCATTTGATGTATGACTTTTAGAGAATGAATCTTCTTTTAAAAAGAAGTGTTACATTGGTGCTTCTTAAGGAAAAAATTTGAAAGTAAAGCAAGCAGTTCTTTTATTAACATCTTCGTAAAGCAGTCAGATGGTGTAGAGGATGCATTGTAGATGTCACTTAGGCCTGGGCAATTCATAGACTATGTCTATATGTGACCAGTTGTGGTACTTGGTAGTGGTCTCTGACTGGTGTAAAATGAGCTTCTTTGATGAGTGGCAACTGGGATATTTGTCTGTAAATATAAGGATACATATTTTTCACATAGTAAGAAATTACATTAGTCTAGCGATGTGACAGTCTTGGTATTTTCTCTAAGATCTATGGCCACTGCAGCTATGTGTATTAGGTTATGTTTACATTACCACACTTGAGTTTCCTCCCTTTGAGTGAGTGTTTAGTCAAATTAGGTAGCTGTTGTTTGTCTCCAAGATAAGAGTGCCACCAATGATGTATGCTGTGCTGGCCATTTGGTGGGGGGAGAGGGGATGGCTACTGGGAGGGTGCCAGTGGGGACGAGGGTATGAAGATGATTAAGATTGAGCTGTTCTGTATGAAATACACAAAAAAATCAATTAAAAGAAAGCAGTCAAGTCGCTAAGGGATTGTAAAAGAATAATTTCTTCCATGGTTTCTTTCTTAACTCACATGCTGAAAAAGTGTCCATTCAGAGAGGTCTCTGCAGCTCTGATGGGACTGTTATTGACTCCCCTCCTCCAGATCAAAACAGATAGAGTCAGCCTGCTTCAGTGGCACAGCGGCTTTCATGGAAGTGAGAATTCAGTCTGTGGTTGTCGAGTTCATCCTCAATCATGTTGATGTGCTTTTCAGTGGCAAAATCAGTGCGGTCATGCAGGAAGGGGCAGGTATGTCTCAGGTGGCTTTGGTTTACTACCAGGAACATGAGACTAAACCTCCAAAGAACTTGAAAACTTTGCATTTATATTTCATCTAATAAAGTATGACAGTGGTAGAAGATAGCTAATTTATGTCTGTGTTCCAAAACATGCAAATTGGCAGATACTTGATGTGTATATAGTGAATACTATATATCAGACCTGTTGTGATCTAAGTTCATGACACATTAAAACATCTTGTCCCCATCATGGTGTATATATAAAGGTATAAAATGGAACAGAAAAAGAAAATTTACTTCCAAAAGTAAAAATGTCTGAGTGATCATCTTTCCCTGATAATCTTTTAGAGTGGAAAATAGTTACATTATTAAAGAATTTTCACTATGATCTGGAATGTCACCTTCTGTTCCTCACTAAATATAAAGCGCTATGATGTTTGTCATTCAAAAACCACGAAGAAAATTTGAAACACCATCAATAGTTAGATAAGTGGTAAGGTAGATAGGCAAACTGGATGAAGCACACACACAGAACTGACTTCATTTCTTCTCTTTGTGAAGCTTCTCTGTCAAGGCCCAAGTCCCTGCTGGTATCTTCTCCATCTACCAAGCTGCTGACCTTGGAGGAAGCCCAGGCACGAACACAAGCTCAGGTCAATTCTCCCATTGTTACTGAAAATAAGTACATTGAAGTAGGGGAAGGACCTGCTGCTCTTCAGGGGAAATTTCATACCATAATTGAGTTCCCACTTGAAAGGTAAAATACACTAACTCCATCTTAAAATACAATTTATAGCTATAGATTATGGTTTTCCTTTGCTTTAAGTTTTATATTTTATTATGTGAAATTCTCAGACAGTACTAGAAAAACCTATTTATTTGAAGTGATACTAAATATTTTATAAGCACTGATAAAAGTTAATTTAGCAAAGCATTTTATTATTATGTAATTTTTAATAATTAAAATATTTTCTTTTTATTTTATGTGTATGAGTGTATTGCCTTCAGGTATGTGAGTGTACCTGTGTTGTGCAATGCCATGGAGGTCAGAAGAGGGTTTTGGATTCCCCTGGAGCTGGAGTTCAGGATGGTTCATAGCCGCCATGTGGGTGCTGGGAATCAAACCCAGGTCCTCTGTAAGAGCAGTCAGTGCTCTTAACCGCTGAGCCATCTCTCCAGCCCCAATATCATGTAATTTTTAAAAACAAACGTTAATTGTATGAGGAAAGTGGTATATATTCACTGTGTGGGGTTGACTTTCCTCTCAGAAATGTTAGTTAGGAATTTATACAGAAATATGCTATGTTGGAATTTAGACAGTAACAAATGGACAGTGATTTCTTTGACACTGGTTCCTTACTGAGCTTTGATCAGTAGTTTTCAAAGTGTGGTCTTCTGGCCAGCAGCATCCACATCCCTGGTAAATGTGAGAAATGCAGATTCTCCAGCTCTAGCCCAAGTCTGCCTGCCACCTGGAGATGGAGCTCAGCAGATAGTCCTTCATCAAGCCTTCTGTGCAGTTCTGATTGGTGCAGAAATTGGCATGCAGCCCAGAATAACTACAGCCCAACATAAAATTGCAAACTTACTTAAACTATTATGAAACTTTTTGTTTGTTTGTTTGTTTTGTCTTTTTAAAGCAGGGTCTCCCTGTAGCCCCATAGCCCCAGCTGTTCTGGACCTCACTATGTAGACCAGGCTGGCCTTGAACTCACAGAGATCCGCCTGCCTCTGCCTCCCAAGTGCTGGGACTACTGGCGTGCGTCACCATGCCCGGCTTATGAGACTTTTTTTCATTGTTTTTTTTTGTTTTTGTTGTTGTTGGTGGTGGTGTTGTCTTTGTTTTTTGGGGTTTTTGTAGCTTGATTTCGGGGTTCTTGAGCATGAACTTCGTAGATGACAAGGTCATGTTGCACTGTCAAGGGCTACAGTGTGCCGTCAGTGTCCCTCCTGGCTGTGAAATGCTCTGTTTCTCTAAAGAAACAATAATAGCATGGCTTGTGAATCTTCTTCACTAGTTTCTAGTAAGAGGACTAATATGTGAGCAAGTTATTTTCAGTGTCTCAGCTACACCTTTGGCTTTTTCTCCTGAATGTAAAGATCTTGCTTCTTGAGTTTGGATATTACTAATAAAACTTTAGAATTTGGTTTTCCATTTTCATATATTCCTCTAATCTTTCTTTTCCATGACTAAAAAGGCAGAAAATTGAAGCATGTTCGTATTTTGTCATTTCTGAGTATCCTGATTTCATATTTTAGCCCCCAATTTACTAAAAAATGTCTTCACTAAGTAGTGATTCAAAAAGCAGCTATTAGGATGTTGATAGACATGGAGTTCATGAAACTCTGATTTCATCCACACTGGTTTCATTGCATTAAGGAAGTTACTTGAAACTCTTAGTGTCTTCATTTGATCAGCTTCCTCATGTGGCTCTATATGGTTTAAAGGACATTCTGACCCAACCTAGATAGCTAGAACATCGCCTGGCATATTGTCAATGCCCATCTTTGTTCTTGAACTTCTCCTTTTTGTTCTCATCTTCTCTACTCACACCTCAAATTTTCTGTACTCTTTTTTTCTTTTTGGAGGCTTAATAGTGTCTTATTCTCACTTATTTTTTCAGATTGTGAGTTAGATTTGAATAGGAGGAAATATGCACAAGTGAACTTTGTGAAGCCGTTACTCATGCTGGTATCCACACATTTAGCTTCATTTATGCAGCAGCTGCACTGTGGAGTGTGCTGCCTGAAGAGAAAGGCATGTTGGTGGCTCCTGTTGTTCTTCTCCAGCCTGTTGCATTCTTCCTACCATTTGTTCATTTTGTTTTCTGTAAGGAAAGATAGAGCTTTGGTTGGCTGATTAACTGTTTTCTCTAATAGAAAGAGGCCTCAGACTAAGATGAAAAAATCTCCTGTGGGCAGCTGGCGTTCCTTTTTCAACTTGGGGAAGTCATCTTCTGTCTCTAAAAGGAAGCTGCAGCGGAATGAGAGCGAGCCCTCGGAGATGAAGGCCATGGCTCTGAAAGGTGAGCACCCTGCTACACTGTCATGCTGCGGCAGTCTACATGGTGGGGCCCTGCTGTCCTCATGACCCCCTTCTCTGAGCATACTTCCACCATGCCATTATAAGCCTCACTGTGAAGTGTCACAATTGTGTGGCACAGATGGATTGTCCTTATGACTGATTGTTACCAACTCAGAAGGTAGCATAAATTGCATGCAGAAGGACCCAATTTCTTAAGGATATTGTATAGTTTTTATATGCAAGCACAGTACATATAATGTGTGTGAATTTTTTTAACATATGTATGTTAAAATTTTATGTTTTGTAACATTGCTAGTATATTGTAACATAATTTGTATATTGTTGGTAATAAGCACTGCTGTTATTTACATATTTTAATCTTTAATTTTATGGATTTGAAGATGACAGACCCATGTTTCAGCATGCTTTTCAAGCTTATAATTATTATAACCAACAACACTCTATTTTTACTAGGTGACTCATTGATGAGAGTATTATGTTTCATCAGATAGACCTATTACTGTTGAATAAATTACTCCTAAAAATAGTTTAAAACTCATACTCTGGTAATAGTAGTTCCTTAATCTAGTATTTTTCTCCTTGAGTAGTATTAGAAATAATGTTCAGTTCATTTACTTCATTCAGTTTGCAATCATGTATTACCCATGTATTAGATATTTTGATAGCAGGATGTGCAGATAGAAAATTAAGCCAATGCCCTTGACTTCAGAGTCTAATTGAGAAACCATCTGTGTGAGAAAGTAGCTTTCAGTACACAGGCATAACTGTTGAAGTAGAATTTTATGTTAGGTATTTATGGCTTATGCTGTCGGTTCCTTTGCAGGGGAGGTGGAGCTGGTGGTCAGGAAAGACAACTTTTGACTTGGGTGACAAAGGCACTTAAGTGTAGTATACCTGATCTGCAAGGGACTAAGAATTCTGTTTCAGGAGATGAGCACTGGGTGGGAAGAGAGATTGGAGAAAAGCAGTGCTTAAAGGACTATAAAGGGAATTGTCATCAAGAGCGGAGAGTGAGAAGAGATCATTAGGAAGGTAGGCAAAGAACATAAGAGGTGGAGCTTAAATATCTGCAATATGGAGTGTTGCCAGGGGGTCAGAAAGAGTGTTGTATTAGCAGATAAGATTTGATGTATACAGTTAAAGTGAGTGAGTTTCCTAAGGGCTACCTTAATGAATTACCACCAATTGAATGACTTGATGCACAAAAGTACATTCTCAGTTCTGGAAGCTTAGAATCTGTCAGGTATCTGTAGGGCTATGTTCACTCTAAAGTACTCGAGGGAAGATTCCTTCCTAGTCTATTGCATCTCCTTATGGCTCCTGACATCTCCTACTTTGAGGCAACATCATTTCAGCCCCTGCCTCCATCTTTACATGGCCTTCTTCTCTGTGTATTTCTGTGTCCTTTCTTACAACAACATTATCATTGATGGTAGGTGCCACTTTAAGTCCATAAGATGTTATCCAAGGGGCTAGAGAGATAGCTTACTGGTTAAGAGGTTTTCCGCTCTTCTGGAGGACCTCAGTTGAGTTCCCATCACCCATATCAGGCCTCTTGTAGCCTCTGAGGGCATGCACACATAGGTGGCATATTCTCTCTCTCTCTCTCTCTCTCTCTCTCTCTCTCTCTCTCTCTCTCTCTCTCTCATATATTCACACACACAAAAGTAATTTTTTAAAAAAGATACCTTCCAAGGTTATGTTTATCTTTAGAAACACACAAGGAAGAAGTCTTTTAGTTCATCTCTATGCTCAAGTTTATAAGGCTTTGGAAAAGAGATTTTTCATTTCAAAAACAGAAAAATACAACACTTTACATAATAGAGTGTTGAACTGAATTTGTCTGTCAAAATCCATAGCTAATAATACTTGGAACATCAAACCCTTAAACTCCATGGTACTTAACAACCATAAAGTTTTTCTGTTTGGCTTTGATTATTCAGGTGGCAGGGCAGAAGGAACCCTCCGCTCAGCTAAAAGTGAGGAGTCTCTTACTTCTCTCCATGCAGTTGATGGTAAGACTAAATGCATTGGTTGTTTTATTCTGTAATATATTGCATTAAAGAATGTGAACATAGCAATTTTATAAGTGTGTACTTAGTAAGTAGACTGAACTATCACCTCCAACAACTCTACTGCTTATTTAGTATAAAACTAAAATTCACTGGTATTTCAGCGTGGTGCAGTATTTGGGTATGATTGCTATTTATTTGTTAAAAATGAAATATTTTAGCCGGGCGTGGTGGTGCACGCCTTTAATCCCAGCACTTGGGAGGCAGAGGCAGGTGGATCTCTGTGAGTTCAAGGCCAGCCTGATCTACATATAGTAAGTTCCAGGACAGCTGGGGCTACAGGGAGACCCTGTCTCAAAAAGACAAAAAAAATTTTTTTTTAAAGCAAACATTCATATTTTTTAATGCTTAAAAGCTCATGTTATTACTATCCCCTTTACATTTGGTAACAGGGGCACAATTATTACAAACTCCAAAATCAAGCAGTTTTGATAGTCATAGGTCAGCTTATGGGTTGTCTTCATTACCCAAGCGAGGACTCTTAGCACCAGATGGCACCTTAAAATTGATCTGTTTAAAATGGGGACCAAAATTTCATGGCAAATACCAGAAAAAGGCTTTGTTCCAGCATAACATGGGAAACAGAACAAAAATATAAAAATAAGTGTGGTATGTTCGATTTAGTAAAAGGTGAAGTTGTACTACTCTTTAGGGGTTTGCTTGAGAAATTGAAAGCATATTATTAAAGAAAAAATAAAATTATTTTAAGTGAGTGAAAGGAAAGCTTTACTAAATGTATGTAAATGTTTTTTGATTAGGAAAAAATGTTCTTTATTTAAAAAGAAATTTGGGGGATGAGAGAGATGACTCAGCAGTTAAGAGCACTGACTGTTCTTGCAGAGGACCCGGATTTGATTTCCAGCACCCACATGGTAGCTAACAACTATCTGTAACTCAAGTTCCAGGAGATCTGATGCCTTCTTCTGACCTCCGCCGGCATTTTACAACATGGGTGCATCCACCTACATGCAGGCACTCTTGGAGAGGCCCAGGTTCAATTCCTAGCACCCATGTGACAGCTAACAGCTGTCCATAACTCTAGTTCCAGGCGATCTGACACCCTTTTCTGACCTCCATGGGCATTGCACAACATGGGTGCACTTGCATGCATGCAGGCAGTATACTTATAGACATAAAATAAGAATAATAAAATATTAAAGTTAAGCACATCTTTAAAAATGAAAAGAAAAAAATTGGAAATTACAAGGATATTTTCCTATAATAAGCAACCTTTTCTTGTTGTTTTACACCTAAAATGCTATTTTAAGTGTTTAATTTGACCTCACAAGTCATGTATATAAGGCCAGTGATAAAATGAGACACAGAGAATGAAAAACTAACCCAAAGTCACACCAAGAATCAGTGTTGGATGAGTAGTAGAATCCAGGAGTCCTTAGTCCATTTTCTTACCCAGGCCTGAAGCGATGCCTTCTCCCTCTGCTTATGGCACATGTGCTTGTTATTTAGCATTTGGTTTGGGAGTTCTGTTACTGCAAGTGTGACTGATGTTTATACATTTAGAGACAGTTTATGGAAAGAAAATAGAGAGTTTCATTTTTACTCTATGTAATGTTACGGCTTTGCTGAGTAGGTGACTAAGGATGGTGTTCTGTGTCATGTGATATTTATGCTTTGGCATTGTTCATTCTTGCTAGGTGATTCCAAGCTGTTCCGGCCTAGAAGACCCCGATCCAGCAGTGATGCACTGTCTGCCTCTTTCAATGGAGAAATGCTGGGGAACCGCTGCAATTCCTATGATAACCTGCCCCATGACAATGAGAGCGAAGAGGATGTGGGGCTGCTCCACATTCCAGCTCTTGTGTCTCCTCATTCTGCTGAGGATGTTGACTTGAGCCCACCAGACATTGGAGTGGCCAGCTTGGACTTTGATCCAATGTCATTTCAATGTAGCCCTCCTAAGGCTGAATCCGAGTGTCTAGAGAGTGGTTCTTCCTTTCTAGATTCATTAGAATATTCCAAGGATAAACCAGGCACCAATAGGAAAGATGTAGAAGCAGTTGGTAGCCAGTCCCAGACTCCAGGGAGCACTGCAAGCTCTGAACCTGTGTCTCCAGTCCAGGAGAAACTGAGTCCATTCTTTACCCTGGACTTGAGCCCAACAGAAGACAAGTCATCTAAGCCATCTTCATTTACGGAAAAGGTCGTTTATGCTTTCTCTCCAAAGATAGGACGGAAGCTAAGCAAATCGCCTTCCATGAACATATCTGAGCCAATTTCAGTGACTCTTCCACCTCGGGTGTCAGAAGTCCTTGGTACCATCTCTAATACCATAGCTCAAAATGCATCGCCTCCATCTTGGGACAAGAGTGTGGAAGAAAGAGATGTCACAAATAGATCCCCCACCCAGATAGTAAAGATGAAAACAAGTGAGAGAGAGGCACAAGAAGGATGTGAACCTGAAGTCCAGCCCCTGGAACAGGTGGCTGCTGAAGAAGTAGAGTTGCCAGGGAAAGAGGAGCAGCCTGTCTCGAGCAGTCAGAGTAAGGCTGTAGCTTCTGGACAGACTCAGACAGGTACCATTTGTTTTCCTCCATTCTTTCTTTAAGTTAAGAGGGATCTTCCATCCTGTGTGCCATCTGTGCCTTTTAAGAGAGAAATTTGCTCCACAGCTAGTCTGTAATCAAAGAAAATGCTTTTCTGAGTGGTGCTGAGGGTTCAAAGCCCTACACTAAAATAAGTCAAACAAAACTCCTCAAAGGGCCCATGTTCCTGCTTCAGACCTTCACAAAAGCCCCCTTACCTCTTTGGACAGTCAGAATTCATGCATAATTTTTGCATAACTGCTTAGCTCTTGATTCTATTTTCTCTTCTAATACATATCATTATCATAGCCTTGCAAGTTAACAAGCCAGCCTACACTGTCAGATGTAAAAACTGTTCCTATCACAATCTGTAAGCACTTGAAGCTTGTACTCTAAGTGGCCTTTTCTAAGTCAGGTGAGGGACCTGCTTCCCCCTCTACCCCAATTTGTAGCAATTCAAGAGGAGTTTTCAACTTAAAACACTATTTTAGTTTTCCTTCTGAACCAGATATGTTTCCAACAACATTTGCATGTGGGATAGAAGATCATGGATTGCCGTTTTGAAATACGGAAGGCACACATGGGGAGTGTTTGGCTTTCCATATAGGATAACATAAGCTACCTTTTCATTCTAATTTTTTTTCCCAATTTCCCACTAGGAGCAGTTACCCATGACCCCCCTCAGGATCCCGTTCCTGTCAGTTCAGTCTCTCTTATCCCACCACCACCGCCTCCGAAAAATGTCGCCCGAATGTTGGCATTAGCATTAGCTGAGTCTGCACAGCAAGCCTCAACTCAGACACTGAAGAGACCAGGGACTTCCCAGACTGGGTATACTAGTTACGGAGACTTGGCAGTGGCTACAGTTGAAGAGACATCACCTAGTTCCCACTCTAGTGTTACTCTAGATAACACTTACTTCCAGACTGATCGACCAGCAGAGCAGTTCCACCTCCAGAGCAATGGACCAGGAAATTGCAGCCAGCCTCTCCCAGAGACAGCAGTTACTGGGGATCCCACCCATTCCAACACAACTGAATCTGGAGAACAGCTCCACCAGGTAGACTTGCCAGGGAATAAGCCACATCGAAACCATTTCTCTGGGGACCCAGACAAGGCTAGAATCACTTCAGCTCCCTTAACAGACTCAGAGAAGTTTGATAATCATGGAAGTTTCCTTGAAGACCAGGCTGGGAAGACCAACATGCCCACTGTCTCCTTTGTGGAGCAGGACAAGTCTTCACCTCATCTCTGCAGTGTAGATCAGACTTCCTCTTACTTCTGTGCAAATGTGGATAAATCCCATCACTCCTTAGAACTTGCAGACAAATCTCCCATGCCTTCTAATTTGCCTCGGGACAAAGTTTCCCCTTTTCCTGAGTCCCCTGAAGAGAATGCCAGCACACCCACCATGGCTTATATGACAGCAACTCCAGCAACAGCTGAAATGAACATCAGAGATGCCAGCCGGACCATGGCTGAACAGCCTGCTGCTGCTGATTTTGCGGCTGCCACCCTTCAACGCACCCACAAAACTAATCGTCCTCTTCCCCCACCTCCTTCCCAGAGGCCAGCAGAGCAACCACCAGTCGTGGGACAGGTACAAGCAGCACCAAGTGTAGGATTAAATAATTGCCACAAGGTAAGAAAGGAAGGAAGTCAGTGAGGTGAAATATATTATTCCAAAGGTATGTCATTTTTCAGCAGGTGTGTTGTCTTTGAGTCAGGTACATAATTTAAGTCAAGTGGCAGGTTACCATTCGAGGTTGGACTGTGCTCTTGCCTTGCTACTGGATTTACACAGAGGACAAAGCACTCCCTTGATGACTATAGCTCAACCATCCCTGCTGTCTTTTCTTCCTAAAGCATCTAATTTTTTCACAGAGATCCTGTTAGAGTTAGACAAGTAGGCTGCAGATGTCAGGGATGCAGGTGCTTGTTGCCTTTTCCAGCTCCACTGCTGGCTCCCTCTGGCTTTGAGAAAATCACTTAAGCCCCCCATGCCAGTCATTCATGTCAACACCTTGAAAGTGCTTTATTCTCAAGGTCCTTGTAAGGTTCTTACAGTCTTTTCAGAAGCGTAAGGAATGATACTGTCTTGGTTTTTTGTTACATTTTTCAACATTAACTGGCAGACTATTCCATAGAAGTACCTGTGTTATTGAGGAAGTGTTGAATGCACAATGCCAAGATGTTTTGTTAATTTTGGGGGGGTGTTTTGTTTTAAAGTGAGGCTTGAGAGATGACCCAGAGGGTTGAGAGCACTGGCTCCTCTTGCCCAGGGTTCAGTTCCCAGCACCCACATGGCAGCTCACAACCATGTAACTCCAGTTCCAGGGAATCCGGTTCCCCCTCCCTCTCTGTGGGCATTACACGACATGTGCACTTGCATACATTCAGGCAAAACACCCAGCACACATAAAATAAAAATAATAGATTTTTTAAAAATGTGCCACAGGTTTTTTTGTGGCCACCTTAATACAATAGGAATTAACTTTCTAATTTCTCTTGGAGGATGCTGTTTGTAGCACCTACTTCTCAGGGTTAGTGTATTGGCAGTGTTATTGTGAGACCTGTATTTGGTCTGTGGGCCTGTAAACAGGATGGATAGAAAGTAAGTAGAGATGGAGCCTCTGATTTGAATGCAGCTTAGACAAGTGCTTCATTGCTCTTCCCTGTATTTGTGGGTTTATAGTTGCTCTCTGTGTATGCCTGTGAGTCACTCTGAAAATTCTTCCAGCTGATAAAGTTAACTGTTTTCATTGAATAAAATGTTCTTAGTGTTGAGACTAAACTTAGAACAAAAAGCAGGATGTTTCTTTTTAAGCTGTGTTGTCTAAACCTGTGTTTGGATCTGTGCATTAAGAAAACACTATAGGCAACCTCTCCTCACATTTAAAGCCTAGCGTGAATTGGAAAGCCCTGAACATTTCTTCAGAGATGATTATGTGCTGTGTAGCAGCAGCAGAGGCTTGCTTTTCCTGGCCATTGAGACAGGTCCAGTGTGATTGCATTGTTTGGGAAAGTTCAAGTTGCTACCCAAACAGCCTGGGTTTGCAAGCTATAAATGTATTAGCATTTGACTTCATGGGAGCAGGGGCATAAAAACCCAGACCGTAATTAATATTACTGTCTTTCCACAGGTTCATGGTGTAGTTCCAGCTCCAGAGAGGCAGCCTGAATCTGGAGCCATAGGTGATCCTGCACCCATCTTTGTCAGCGAGGGCAGTGCCACTGCTCAGTGTCCCATGGCCACTTCTGCTGCCCAGCCAGGACTGCCTGAGAAAGTACGGGAAGGCACCAGGGCTCCTTTGCTCCACCTGCGTGCTGAGTCATTTCCTGGCCATTCCTGTGGATTTGCCGCCCCAGTGCCACCAACAAGGACAGTGGAGAGCAAGATGGCTGCTGCCATGCACTCCAACAGTGCAGATGCCACCAGCAGTTCCAGTTATCATTCCTTTGTCACTGCTTCATCAGCCTCAGTGGACGATATGTTGCCTTTGCCACTTCCCATCCCACAGCCTAAGCATGCATCTCAGAAAGTAGCTTATCCTTCCTTTGCTAGGCCTGATGGCATCACTGAGCCTTTTGGTCCAGAAAACTGTTTGCATTTCAGTATGACTCCAAACTGCCAGTTCCGTCCCCAGAGTGTACCTCCACATCACAATAAGTTGGAGCCACACCAGGTGTATGGTGCCCGATCAGAGCCACCAGCCTCCGTGGGTCCTCGTTATAATACCTATGTGGCCCCAGGAAGAAACCTGCCTGGACACCACTCCAAGCCCTGCAGCCGGGTAGAGTATGTCTCTTCTCTGAGCTCCTCGGTTAGGAGTGCTTGTTACCCTGAAGACATTCCACCATACCCCACCATCCGGAGGGTGCAGTCCCTCCATGCCCCGCCACCGTCCATGATCCGCTCTGTTCCCATTTCACGGACAGAAGTTCCCCCGGATGATGAACCAGCCTTCTGCCCAAGACCCCTGTACCAGTATAAGCCATATCAGTCCTCCCAGGCCCGCTCAGATTATCATGTAACTCAGCTTCAGCCTTACTTTGAGAATGGACGGGTCCACTACCGTTATAGCCCCTACTCCAGTTCCTCAAGTTCCTATTACAGTCCCGACGGGGCTTTGTGTGATGTTGATGCCTACGGCACAGTCCAGTTGAGGCCCCTCCACCGCCTCTCCAGTCGTGATTTTGCTTTCTACAATCCTAGGCTGCAAGGGAAGAACCTGTACAATTATGCTGGTTTGCCTCCTCGCCCAAGGGCCAGTATGACTGGATATTTCTCTGGTAATGACCATAATGTAGTCAACATGCCCCCAACTGCTGATGTGAAGCACACCTACACCTCATGGGACCTAGAGGACATGGAAAAGTACCGCATGCAGTCCATCCGGAGAGAGAGTCGTGCGCGCCAGAAGATGAAAGGGCCTGTCATGTCGCAGTATGACAACATGACACCAACTATGCAAGATGACTTGGGAGGGATCTATGTCATCCATCTGCGCAGTAAATCAGATCCTGGGAAAACTGGACTTCTCTCAGTGGCAGAGGGGAAAGAGGGACGGCACCCAGCTAAGGCTGTCAGTCCTGAGGGAGATGACCGCTTCTGCAGGAAGCATCCAGAACCCGAGTTCAACAGAGCCCACCACCATGGAGGGTACAGCAACACACAGGTAGAAAAGCCGTCCCTCCCACAGAAGCAAAGCAGCCTTAGGAACAGAAAGCTTCATGATATGGGTTGTAGTCTCCCTGAGCACAGGGCACATCAGGAAGCAAGCCATAGGCAATTATGTGAATCAAAAAATGGACCATCTTACCCCCAGGGAGCTGGCCAGTTGGATTATGGGCCCAAAGGGATGCCAGACACTTCTGAGCCAGGCAGCTACCATAACTCTGGAGGGAAATATATCACAGCAGGGCAGGAATCTCTCAGACTAAACCACAAGGAAGTAAGGCTCTCCAAAGAGCTGGAACGGCCTCGAACCAGGCAGCCACCTGCCCCTGAGAAACACTCCAGAGACTGCTACAAGGAGGAGGAACATCTCACTCAGTCCATGGTCCCACCTCCCAAACCAGAGAGGAGTCACAGCCTAAAACTCCATCACACCCAGAACCTGGAGAGGGACCCCGGCATGTTATACCAGTACCAGATACATGGCAAGCGCCAGAGCAATATGACTGTTGTGTCCCAGTATGATAACCTGGAGGAATACCACTCCCTGCCCCAGCACCAGCGAGGAGGCTTTGGAGGGGGAGGCATGGGGGCCTATGTGCCCTCTGGCTTTATCCATCCCCAGAGCAGGACATATGCCACAGCATTGGGTCAGGGGGCCTTTCTGCCCACAGAGTTGTCGTTGCCGCATCCTGACACACAGATCCATGCAGAATGAGCCCCGGGAGCAATAGAGTTGAAGCAGCCTCTGCTGGACAGTGGACTGTTCTATTTTTTTCAATAACCAAAAAGATTTAAAAAAATGCTACAAACCCCCTGATCACATTAAAGAACCCCAATAAAAGTAAACAGATTGCCACCTTACCCCCCTCCCCCATTACCACCTCGCCCATCTATAGACTGTGTCGTTTGTCTTTAAAAGAGATCTGAAAGATTGTAAAGCACTGTGTTGAAAGCCTAGTAAAGAAATTTGTCACAGACCCTACTTGCCATATAGGGCTGATTTGTGAGAACCTGAGGACTGCCTTTAACTGATTGAATTTAACTTTGTCCTTTCTTCTTAACATTTGATACCTAGTTCAGAGCAGTTTGCATCTACTTCCTGGTGGGCTTCTGCATTTCCTGTTCTGTTCCAGCTTCCCCATAGGGAGGTACACAGCCTGCCTAGGTGGACACTCCCTTCAGTTCTCTTTCATTATTCCTGTCCAAAATGGAGTTTATTTGTTAAAATAGAGTGGAGAAAAACTCCGTGATCCTTCAGATAAGCCATGTAGACTGCTAGCAACAATATAATTAAAAAGTAAAGCAATTCTGATTTCAAACATTTCATGAAGCATTGTTGTAAAATATCAAACATAGGCAACCCATACTTTACGTTATGCTTTTTCCTCACTGTCTAGTGCGCAAGCTCCTGTCACTGCAGAAGGATGGGGAGATGCTTTTTCAAGTTAACAGTTAAATAAATTTCTTAGGTGGAAGACAGTGAAGTTCTTATTGTCAGTGAACTCTGGTAATAGCAGAAAACACTGTCCATGCTTCTGATGTGCTACTTGTCTGCAGATCCTTCCAGTAATACTCAGTAGTTCCAGTGAAACTTTCACCCTGTTGGTTCTAAATCTGAAACGTTTTCATTAAGAAAAGACCAGCATGGTTTAACTGGATAAATACAGTTTCTTAGGAATATAAATGTACTTGTTATTCTGTTTCTAAAGTAGAGTACAGGTTCTCTGGGAATTCAAATTACCCATTAGGAAAATGCACGTTCTGCGGTGACTGACTATAGTCCCATCTCACCAGCTGGAGTTCTGGGGAGTCACATGGTGTTGGTTACCCCATATTTGTGTGGTCACTGTCACTGTATTTGCCGTCTTCACCAGCATTTCAGAATAGCTCTTTCTAACTCTGTAGACATGTTAAACATGTTGAATACCCAGGACTTTCTTTTGAAAGCTGCATTCCTTACAGAGCAGAAACAGGGCATCACCTCTCTATCCCAACTTCACTGTTTTCTTGCCCACCCTACCACAGATAAGCCAGACTAATAAGGCAGTCCTGTGTTCAAAATGAGATAGATTGACATTTCATTCCATAACTCAGGTTAATACTTGAGTTTTGTACATTCACACATTTTAAATATTCAGTTTATGGAAGACATGGGAGATCTCATTCCATTTATTGGATGGTTGCTGCTCTGGCTTTTTAGGACTTGGAGTAATCTTTTATCTAGAGCAAAGGAGGAAATCTTTTAAGAGACTTAAAACTCATGCTGCTATTGCTGTGAAATTGTATAAAGATTAGATTCATGGAAGTCTTTTAATTTAAAAAATATAATTGCATTTTAAGGGTTTATATTTAGAAAAAGTAAAAAAGTTTTACGAATATATTTCTATTTGGAGATACTTTATAAGGTTTTCTTTGTTCCCCAGATTGACCAGGGGGATACAGTAAGGTCCAGAGTAGACATTTAAGAACATTGATATGTACACAGGTCTGTGGGAGTTTAGGCATCTGCACTAAAGGTGCAGATCCAGCTGATAGGTAGTCAGAATGTCAGGAAACCTGCTATATGCTTCCATCTGTCACACAGATATATTGGGAGACACCAATTTTTAAAAACCTAATCATCTTTTTTGTCAAGTAGGCAACCCGTTGCCTCTTGAAGACCACACCAGCCCTGAAAGTTCTCACTAGCAGCACGATGGGAGGAGAGGCCAATGTGCTGAGATCCGTGGCTTTGGTAACTGCAGGCCTGGCCTAGAAAGAAGCACTTGGAAGGTCCAAGCCGATTTTGAATTTGTGGATTTGTTTGTCACATTGTTTACTCCTGAAACTAAAGTCTCTTTATTATAAATCCTAAGGTAATTCCTTGGAACTGTTTCTTTATTAATAACATCCTATGGGTTTGGAAATGTCAGGAAAATATTTTGAATATAGATTAATGATTCAAATTACTGGTATAAGTGTGAAAAGCAAACTTTAAAGTCTAGAGTTATTTAGTGTATGTAGCAACAGCCTTAACTTTGAATTCAACTATTTGAAAATCTTTGCCCACCTGTTTCTCTAATACTGTGGGGTAGAAATTGGATGGCAAATCACTGTGAGCCAGGTTACCTCAGCGTTGTCCACCTCGTGTGTGACTTCACAAACAAAGGAATTGAATGTTACTGTCAAGGGTTGACATGATCAAGAGTATCATGATCAAGGAAGTGGAACTGCCTTATGCATTAAGCCCATCCTTTCATCCCATAGATGCTCTCTTGCCATGTCTCCAGAATTTATCTTTTTGGCAAAATTCTGATTCCACAGTTTGGTTAAATTGAACTAGAAGTTCCTGGATAAGAGGCTAGGAACTTAGCAAAAAGCTCCAGGGGTACCACGTTCTCACTAATAAATTTAATCTGAGCCTTATTTCTTACTGAATTCAAGTTATTTTCAAACATGCATTCATATATTTTAAATGCTTAGTTTGAAAAAGTCCCTGGGACAGTCCCAAGGGTAGGGCCTGCATCTTTCTTATAATGGTAAAGCATTTTTAAGAATGTAGGGTCAGGTTAAAAAATTCCAGGACTAATTCTGTGCAGAGGAGGGACCAGGAAGTTGAGTAGGGATAGAAGAGCGGACTGTCACTTTAGAAACAGTAATGGAGGTGTATGGTGTACATTGGGAATTTGCTCCTTTAGTTGGAGAAGGATCCTGTGAAGTCCATTTCTCTGTTCCAGCCCTTTGGGCAAAGTGTCACCTGAGCAGAGGGTACAAGAAAGTAATTAAGAAAGCTGAAGTATGTCAGAAAGTTACTTCCAAATGGTTAGAGGCATGTGATTGTCAGTACTGTGTGTTATGGCAGTGTCAGGAATGATGTATAGTGTGCAAGATAATGTTGGCGTGCACAGAGGGTCTTATCTGATTAGTACTGTTGATGTTCAAAGAATAAAACGATTGTTTTACAGTTTAGATTCTGAGATAGCAAAACCTGATTTTTCAACCATGACCTGCATGAGAAAGACATCTTAGGAAGTCTTAGATCATACTTTTGAGTTCTTTAATTTATATAGTGTTCTTTATGTTTTAATATTTTTGTGAACTTGTGTAAATTGTTAATGCATATAAGCTTATGTATTTTTGTAAATAGTTTTGTGATTTATTTC